GTGCCAGGTGAGTTATGATTTATGTTTATGTTCAGCAGTGATTTAAGATGCATAAAGAGCTCATAACCTGCACCCCCGGTGTTAGTGCTCCCGCCCAGAGTTGGGCACAGTCCTTCACGTGATGTTCACCTCCCGCACCACACGCTCATCTTAGATCCAAGTTAGGTGCACAATCCTGTCGTACATACCACTTTAGGTGGTTCCGACTCGTAGGTGACCCGCAATTATTCGCCTAGCCTTCACGTGATCGTAGCACTTGAGCGTACTTATATTACACCCAGTCCTGTCGTACAGACCACTTTAGGTGGTTCCGACTCGTGTGCAGGTATAGTTAGTGAGATGGAGATTTGATCTTTAGATTCAGCCGTACAGGTCACGTTAGGTGACTCTGGCTGATAGATTACATGGCATTGATTTGACATTCCTGAGCACTTGCATTCTATTTAGAGACATTTGACATGGCATATTTCCGAGCATGATTTATATATATATGTGTATACTCTATTTTTCTGGAAAGTATACAGGTTTTACGGCGAGGGGTTAGAACTTGTTTTTGAAATGGTTTTTGAAAAGCTTTGTTTTTGCCCACTCACACTTTTTGTTTTGCGTCCCTCCAGGTTCTAGTTGGCTAGCACTTTTGGTGGCTCCCCAGAGGATTTCCCCCGCATATCTGACAGATTATCACCAGTGTAGGACCACCTTTGGGTGTGTTTTTGTAGTGTTCTTTCTCCCGGACTGCATTAGGTCTTCAAGCTCTGAACTTTGTTTTTCACACTTACACTTGCACATGTATGTTCTTACTTTGTGTAAAGCTGGTTTTTTATTTATTCGTACTTTTATTATTGTTTTATTCGCTTCCGCACTGTGCACATGGTTACGTCACTTCCACATGACGGCTAGCATGCCCTGATCTCGATCGGGATGTGTCATCAGAAGGGGCGAAGAAGAAGAATGAAGATGAGGGAAGAGAGAGAGAGACTAAAAGAACCAATTTTGAGGTTTTGAAAAGACAAAGAAGAAGAAATGAATAGGACTGGTTGCGTGAAAAAGGTAAGATGGAAAGTTGGTGATTACCGTGGTCCATCTTGGATGATGTGAAAGAGGTAAGCTGGACAGCTACTACTTGAAGGGTTATCAGATTGTTTTAATCATGAAAACCACTGACTTGCGTGGGCTTTTTATATTTTTAAAAGTTATATATTATATGAAGGATCATCAGATAATTTTAATCATGAAAACCACCCACTTGCGTGGGCTTTTTATATTTTTAAAAGTTTGGGGTATATATTATATGTATATAAATGTTATATAAATTATTTAGATAATATTTTGTTTTTTTCCTTAGGCAAGCATATTATATATGTACATAAAACATTCACATATGTATGTTCTTCTATAAGAAATAACATATTATTCAATAATTATTTACATTTGATATAGTAAGTTTAATTAATTCATAAATATATAAGAAATTTACCTAAATCCACCTAGACCCCGCCTAGCCGCATAGGCGCTAGGCGCTAGGTGCCATCCCACCGCCCAACTAGCGCATAGCGGTTTTTAGAACCTTGATATATTTTACTTATTGTAACAAGAAAATACTTAAATATTATTTTTATGCTCTTACAACGAGTTAATGAAAGTAGTAAGGCCAGGGGCTAAAGACCATCTTCATTTGACCTCTCAAATTTTTGTTGGGGCTTTAGGGGATAGAATGCAAAATTATCTGAGGGTCTGTTTGATAAACAATGATAATAGTTTTGAGTTAAAAAAAATGAAAACTGATTTCAAAATTTAAAATAATTTCATTTGTCATTTTTTGTTGCCATTTTTTTTTTTTGAAAGTGAAAATTTCATTAATAAACAGATTAAGAAACATCAATACCAGGAATCAAATTCCAAGTTTACAAATCCAACATCAATAAGGGATCCACACCTAACTAACAAGATAAGCTCACAAAATCTAAGGGCATGTTTGGTATCCCATTTGAAATTTTTTATCATTTCTCAAAACATTTCTTAAGACTATTTCTTGAAAACAATTTTCTTTAAGACTCAAAAAGGTGATTGGTTTGCGATTTAAAAATTTTAAATTTTACAACTTAAACTAGACAAAGATATCTAAAAAGAGTGGGTCACAAGATAGGGAGAAAGAGGAGAGAGGAGGAAATAAAGTAATAGATGATTGAAGGAAAGAGAAAGAAGGGAGAGGATCAGACGATATAGAGAGGAAGTGGAGTGAGAGAAAGAACCGAGAAAACGAAGATAGCGGAATGAAGGTCAGATGAAAAAGGTAAAAAAAAAAAAAAAAGAGGAAAGAGAAAGAAGAAGAAAAAGACGAGAGAGAGAGAGAGAGAGAGAGAGAGATTTGGAGTGGGAGGGGAGGAGTGAGAGAAAAGAAATGAGTGAGTTTAAGTTTAAAAACTCTAAAAACTCACTTTTTATGTTTTTAGTGAATAGACTATATTTTTAAGTTAGTCTTGAGTTCAGTTTTTGAAAATAGTCCTACCAAACAAGTTTTTAAGGCCTAAAACTTGAAAATTGTTTTTGAGTTTCAAAAGTTGGATTTAAGTAAAGTACCAAACATACCCTAAGCTTTTTGAACTGGATCCACAATCGTCAAGACTCAAAAGAAACACAACAAACCAAACCCAAATGACAAATCAACATTAAATCTATCCTCGAAAAAACGAGAGAGTGACTCGAATGCAACCCCAAACAACAACCCAACGCAACCCGTAGCTGAATCACCCATAAACCAAGATCCCAACCTCTGACAGAGGCCTAACAAATAAAGTATCATGAGCAAGATCGCGCCCAAAACCACGTCAAAGCATCTACCACAGGTCAAGCAAGGTGGATTCGACATAACACGAGATGTAGCTGCCACAAAATCAATCGAGGAAAGTAATTCCTCCATGAAACAGGGTCGAAGAAGATGTGATAAAACCAAAGGGCATTGAGGAGTGGCAAGTGGTAAGGAAAATGAGAGGAAGAGCCCCCCATCCGAATCTCGGCTCGCTACAGCAAGCCTAGGAAATCTACGAATACGATTTGGAATATGAAGAAACCTAATTGACTGACTCGAACCTATACATGAGATCGAAAACCACAGAGTAAATCACCCTGTCAACCACAATTGATCCCGCATCAGAGATCACGAGAAGCAATGACAAGAAAAAACTTAGGGGAGAGGAGGAAGAGGTAGGAGACGACGTATAGGTAGATGGAAAGCTAGGGGAAGTCACGAAAGAACAAGGCAGAAGGGAAAGAGGGATTGCAGTGGATCCCAAGTTGGAGCAAAAGGCCGGCGGCTAAGAGTTTACAAAGTTAGGGTTTGGATATGAGAGGGAGAGAATTTTGGAGCAATTTTCATGTCATTATTTTGTTGCCATTTCCTAAACACCAATTCTACTCTACAAAGCATGCATCATACGTTAGTCTCAAAACCTGATATCTAGGACTTTCTGATTTTGACTCAGACGCTTTACTCTTGCCTTCGTTTAATTAGGCCATCTCTAACGGAATGGGCTATGTTTAGCTCCCATTCAGATTATAGCCCTACAAAAAATTATGTTTTAATGAATAGTACCAGACCATATTTATATACCATCTTTAACAGAAGGGGCTATTTTTTAGCCCCCTCAATAATTTATTATTTTTAAGTTTGCTCTTTAACTTTATTGGTTAATTGAATTAAACTACCATATTTATAAATGAGTAACTCTCCATATTTCTCGAAATAATTTTTCAGAATGCTATGTTTGTTTTGCTTAAAAAAAAATAAAAAAATAAAAAATAAAAAAAATTTCTTATAAGAGTTTAAAGAATGTGAAGAATTGCAATAAAATGAGGTAAGATAATATGGAAGGATGAAAAGGATGTGAGAAATGACTTAGATATTTATAAGAAAAAAATAGAATTTTTTTATTTTTTATATTTAAATTTTGTCTTAAAAAAATAAAATTCAAATCCAACGGCTAGCTGACGTCAGCTAGCATGTGGGTTGCTGGCAGCTGGGCCCAATTTTTCAGGCTGGTTGGCTGGCTAAGGATGCCCAGCCCGCTAGCCATATGGTTGGATTTTGGCATGTGGGTCTCAACCCAGCCCTCCATTGGAGATGACTTTTGTATCAAAAACGTCATATTTTGGCTTATAGCCCTTTGGTTGGCCCGATTAGAGATGACCTTAAAGACACGGTAAGTCCAAAGATAAGAACCCTTGAGCTGGCCTCATAACCTTTAGACCCAAAGTTATACTGAAAAACTAATTAAAAGTTTCATTTCTCGGGGAGGTCAGGTTCAAAAACTTATGCACCCTTTTCATAACTTCGATATATTCATTAGTAATGTTTTGGTATGGATCCAACTCCAGCTATAATAGAGCAAGATTCCTCCTGAGAAATGTGATTATCAACTAGCTCTTAGTCTAATAGTGATTTTCTTTCTATTGTTGGAGGAGGGAGGTCCTAAGTTTAAATTTTCATCCATATTGAAAAATAAAATAATAATCTTCATACTCATGATCTCCGCCTACACTCTGCCTTTTGTTTCTACCTGCCAATAGATTTTTTATTTATTTTATGTAAAGACTAAGATAAACATGTGGAAAACTAAAGAGATGAAACATTCTGCTTTCAAAATGAGTGTGATGTGACTCCAATTACTATTTGACATATATTTATACACTTCTTTTTTTTTTAATTTTATCGTCATAAGTTTAATAAATATCAAATAATGAAAGGTTGCACACATTTTGAATGTAAACTCAATGGGTCAAAAATTGCCTCTTTATTTTTACAGCACAAGTTTATAAAGGAAATAATAAATAAATTAATTAATGCAAGTGGAAACAAGAAAAATAATAACTCAACGACTTTTTTTGGCTCCAAATCCCGATTCTTTAATTTCTGAAACTCCCGGGACGCCAGCTTGGACCGAGCCTCCTGCCACCAGACCTATACAACTATATAAACCCACTTCGAAAAATATCATCAGAACAAATTCCCACCTCCCAAATCCAACCTCTCGCCCTCGGATTTCAAATTCTGCGATTTGGGTTTTGATCTCCTGTCCAGACCGAAAAATGGGTGCCTTGTCGACCATGCTCAAACACCCCGATGACATTTACCCGCTTCTGAAGCTCAAAATTGCATCGAGGCAAATCGAAAAGCAGATCCCGGCAGAGCCCCATTGGGCTTTCTGCTACACGATGCTCCAGAAGGTCTCTCGTAGTTTCGCTCTCGTTATTCAACAGCTCGGTACAGAGCTCCGCAACGCTGTAAGTTATATATATATGTGTGTGTGTGTGTGTCTGAGTGTGTATTTAAGTGTTAGTTCCTGTATCTGATCTATGTTTGTTTTTTTCTTTTTCCAAGTGGTGATTTCTGGGTTTTGAGGAATTTTCTTGGTTATGGACTTGACTGTTGATTAAATATGTTTATTTGGGATTAATGTTTTTTATGGACTGTTTTAGTAGAATTAAAAATTATATTAGTGTTTTTATTCTCTTTTTTACTGATGGATGATGCTAATGGTTCACATCGGAGTTTTATTGCTTATACGAGAAAGGGGAGGCCCATTTTTTGTGGTTTTAAAAAAATGTTTGGTAGTATTTTCTGTGGGTATTTTGATTGGTATTGGATTATGATCATCTACTTCTGTGGGTAGATTGATATTTTTTTTTTCTGCTTTTGTTTGTCTTTCTCTGCATTTTCTGGGAGTTTGAATCGAATCCAAGGTTAGACATGGAGTAACTTTCATTTCCGGCCTTAATTCTCTTGCGGAAGAGGCTGTTGTTTACTTTGATTATTTCTTCTTCTTGAGATCCTTACAGACTACTACATTTTAATTCCCTTGTTACATTTTCATCTTTTGTTTGTTTTTGCTGTGATTTTCTAACGTTGTTTTTGCTGTGATTTTCTGACGTTGACTTTTACGGTTTGCAGATCTGTCTATTTTACCTGGTTCTTCGAGCTCTAGACACTGTCGGTATGTTTCTGTTAATCTTTAGTTTTTTGCTTCATTTGTATTTTCCTGTTAATTATACAGGTTGCTCCTCGTTCCCGTGGATCGGTTGCATGATTGTTACAAGTGACACTACATTGTAATTTAACTTTTGATTTCCTTCAGTGTGGCACTTATGATGCTCATTTATTAACTAACCGTGTTTAATGATGTAATTTGTCCTGGTGGACCTATACAGAGGATGATACAAGCGTTGCAACAGATGTCAAAGTCCCTATCTTGTTAGCATTTCATCGGCACATATATGATCCCGATTGGCATTTTGCATGTGAGTGATTTAGCGTTCCATGACTACATTCTTCATGTTTGCTGTTTTCCTGTATCCCGTGGTTGAGATTAGGATATATAACTTACTGTGCTGCAAATATCTTGTTTTAAAAAGTTCTATACACACACAGCACACATACATGTATATATTTATATATATCATAGCATATATATGGAGTTTTATCTAATCAAGGACATGATATTCAGCCATTTGATCATATGGAGGGTTAACATGCACAGTAGATAAAATACAATTTAATGCACTAAAATACCCATATTTTGATCTAATAAGTAACAGCCGAGAATGGGGTCCTAAGAAGAGTCAATTAGCTTATAATTATATATGTAGAAATGAATATAGGGGCTTTTATGTATATAAATATGCCATCGAGAAATTATTAGTAACATGTTAGAGAGCATACAATACTAGTTACACTCGTATAATCTACACCCTCATTATAGTACCGTGAACCTTATAAACTTTGTGATCTGCTTGACTTTATGGTAATAGTTTGAACTGTAACCAGAAAAGATCAGACTAATTTCTTTCCTTGTCTCTTACAAAAGGCTATTATTTCTGTGTTGTCGTTGTTGCCAGTTGACGTTGAGTGCATTATAAAAAATTTCTCATCTTCTTGTTATAAAAAAAAGAAACATATATAAGAACATAAGGAATGAGTATGTTTGTTGTCGGTCCTTGGTCCTTGCTCATTGGTAAGTATAGTACATGCATACTGTCACATTACTATGTTGATGAGACTTGTCTGCTTGCTCAACTACCTTCTTCCTCTTCTTTAGGTGGTACAAAGAATTACAAAGTTCTCATGGACGAGTTCCATCATGTTTCAACTGCTTTTTTGGAACTCGGGAAAGGGTAATTTCTTATCCTTGTATATTTCATCGCTCAATTATTGAAAGATCTTTTCAGGACGGGAATTTCTTATCCTTGTATACATCCTAATGTTCTTGATGGTTATAAGATAAAGTGCATGGGACAAAAATTTCCCCAACATTTTGGATATATGTATGAAAACTTTGACCATACTTAGCATGAGACATCTGTCTGTTTAGGGCAGTGTTTTTTTTTCTATTATGTCGATCATGTGATACATGATGATTGATAACTGGGTAATTCCTGTGCTTCATATAAATTTTTTTTTTTTTTTTTTTTTTTTTTTTTTTTTTTTTTAATTAAAACACCTAAAATGAGTGGTGCCAACTCAACTGACTTGTTGGACACTCCAGGTTCCAGGAGAAGTTTTGCCTTAGGAAAAATATGTTAATGCTTGTTCTTTTTAATGAGTTTATGTTTTGCGGTTGGCTTATTGAACTTGGAAATACTTATCGATGGATGGCATTGAGCTCTATAAAATATTCATATTCGTGTTGTAACAACTCTGCATACACTTGTTTTCTTTATAACATATTCATATATGATTGGAGTTTTCATTGTACAATATTTTGATAAGCAACCGGCATGTAATCTTGCAGTTATCAGGAGGCAATTGAGGATATTACCAAAAGAATGGGTGCAGGAATGGCAAAATTTATCTTGAAGGAGGTTTGTGATGCATCATATATTTTGTAGGAAGAACGAGTGTATATGCTCTGATGTTTCATGTTTCTCATGCTTCATTTAAAATAAACTCCTCTTTCAAAACCTTTCTGACATTGTTTGCAATGTTTCTTGACATATATTTATGATAGTTGTGAAATATATTTCAATTTTTTTAACATATTGACAAAATATATAATATATAATCGTTTTGTTCTGTAAATGGGTTACTATTATGGATTTTTGTGGACATGTAGTTATATTTTGAATGCTAATTGAAAGAAAAAATAAAGACTAAATGTAGATCAACCGCAGAAAGATTTTTGGCATCCGTTTTAAACTAGGATTTTCTTAAGTAATTTAAAAGTGAGTTAAAACGATAGGAAAAAAAATGTTTCTGCAGTCAACTGGTTTCCACAATTTATAAGCATCTATGGACCTTAATTTGTGCATATAAGCAGGTACATTAGCGTACTTGATGTTTTTGCATTATGGGAAATCGGATTCCACAACAAAGTTGTTAAGCATAAATAAAATTTAAATTATTCTCCATTGCATGATTTCCATTTACAATATTCCAAGTCTTATTATCAGTGTACGTTTTGCACTATGTGCACAAAGGTGAGGTGTATTTCCTAATGCGATTTGGATGTATTTGGCTCATCTTGCAGGTAGAAACCATTGATGACTATGATGAATACTGCCACTATGTGGCAGGACTTGTTGGTTTAGGTTTGTCCAAGCTCTTCCATGCTGCTGGTAAGGAAGATTTGGCCTCAGACTCTCTCTCAAATTCAATGGGCTTATTTCTTCAGGTATAACAATACTATTAAAGCTAGAAATGGTATATTTCTCAGTATCAAATTTGCTTCATAGTTTGATTCTGATTCTGATTCTGATTCTACAATGTCTGGATCTGATAAACAACAGAAAACAAACATCATTCGGGATTATTTGGAGGATATTAATGAGATACCAAAGTCACGCATGTTTTGGCCACGCCAAATCTGGAGTAAATATGTCAATAAACTTGAGGTGCTTCTTCTTTACTTGTATAATTCTAACAGCTTCCTGTGCCATTCCTACCATTTTGCCTTCTTAGTTGCTTGTTTTATTTCTAGTCTAGTGGGGTGATATAAGGATTTATGCATCACCCATTGCACAGTTGGAATTTTTGTCAACAATTTGTTTGACATTGCAACACAGGACTTGAAATATGAGGAAAACTCAGAGAAGGCAGTGCAATGCTTAAACGACATGGTAACTAATGCTTTGATACATATGGAAGATTGCTTGAAGTACATGGCTGCATTAAGAGATCCTGCTATATTTAAATTTTGTGCCATCCCTCAGGTAGATTATTCCTCAACTATATCACAAATGTTTTTCTTTTGTGGTGTGTGTCATATCTGACTTGTGTATTTTACGGATTTATAGAACAAAACAAACATTGGCTAGGGAAAACATTGGTAGGATGAGTTGAGTGATTTTATTACTATTTTTAAACGTAGCACATGGTGTAATCTTGATTACATTGTTGGCCATAAGAGCCTTACACTGTTGGACCATCAGGATCGATTAGTCGGTTCCAAAATGATCCTCTTGTTATATGTACAAGTCATAAGAGATCCTATTGACTTGTAACTTGATTGGAAGATTTGCTTTTGCTTCCTTCTTGATGGTCAAGATCTACATTGTTTCTATTCTCAAGCCTTTTGAATTCCCATTGGAACTCTTCAGATGGCGTTTATCTTTTCCCTTTAACAAAATTCAATATAACATTTTATGACTTCACAGTCTGCTGTTTAATTATTTAACAAAGATCATCTCTAAGTAATCTCATTTGATTTGTGCTGCCTCTACTAGATCATGGCAATTGGCACCCTAGCATTGTGCTACAACAACATTGAGGTCTTCAGAGGCGTAGTCAAAATGAGGCGAGGTAATATTTTAATCTAGGAACACGGTATTCCTTTCAGATATAACCGGACACATTTTGATATAATCAAAACGAAAACAATTGCGTTATGTATTTTACAAAGAAATAGCTTTGTCAAAAACGGTGCTATGCATGTGCGATTATATGGTCATTTGGCAGATAGTGGCAGCTATTGGAATTCCACAAACCCTAGCAACATTGTTTTCTTAATATTAGAGATTTTATCATAAATTTTGGGAAGCTTACACATACTACTTCTATAGACAACCACATTTTAGTAACTACAAGTACTTTTATATATTTACTAGGGAAATGATCTACAAAATCATGTCATGATAAAAATTATTTGTTAGAAAAATGAAAGTACTGCAACTACTGGTTAATTATGCCTTTCACCCTTTGAGCCCTTGATGCACTACTGGTTGATTATATGAATTCTTCGCTCATTCTTTCGATGGTTTGGATAAAATACCTATCACACTGTGTAGTTTTTGGTCACGCGATCTGTCATAATTCTTTACTGAAAAGTATTCAATTCTTTGCTGTATTTTCTAGGTCTTACAGCAAAAGTTATTGACAGAACAAAATCAATGGATGATGTCTATGGTGCTTTCTTTGATTTTTCTTCCATTCTAAAGTCTAAGGTAAGATGCTTCAACAAACTAGATATGTATTATCTCTTAACAAGATTACTTTTACTTCATACTAAACCAAGGGTGAGAGTTGGGCTAGATGAACCCAACCGACCCCAGATTTGGCTAGTTTTGGGCAACCTGGGTATGGAATTTGATAAGTTGAGTAAACATCTATATACAAGTATCTTTAGGGTGCTGTTATTGGGGCTCCAAAATCTTGCTGTGCACTCCAAGATTTCTATATTTAGAAAGAAAAATACAAGTATGGTGAGTGCACAATGAAATTTTTGGAGTGCCAATGAGCACCCACTTTTAACCTGAATTAAAAGTTAAGCAAACACGGTATAATGAATTTTTAACCCAAGCAGCCCAAGGAATTATAATATGAATGTATTTTAAAAGGAAATGTTCTCTTGTCAGACTGTCTAGCAACATAATATGCTTGTGTAGACTACGAATCTGGAGCATTGATCAGGCTGGCTGAATGTGTGGTCCACATCAGAGTCTGACAATATAAGCTCTCTCTAGCAACAGAAGTCTGGCAGGGGAACATTACCTGTAGTATGGATATATATTCCTATCAACATATACATTGAATATATTTTGGGAATTGTTATTAGCATGCCGAAAATCTCATTCTACACTCCACACAAAGTGTATTTTTCTTTCTAGTTATAGAAAGCTTGTAGTGCAAGATGAGATTTTTGGAGTGCCAATAGCAATTCCCTATATTTTTTTCATAATGTTCTTTCAGGCTTATTTATTTAATCTGTTGTGCTATGCAGTACTTTTTTGTGTTTGGAGTAAGGGAATACATTATTAAAATTCTTGTGTTGAGTTCTTGAGGCACAATCTAGTAAACGTTTTATTTACAAGAAATATATTTTGATTAGTGAGATGTTATTGGCACTCCAAAAAAGTCACTGTGCACTTCTCATAAGTGTATTTTTCTTTCTAAATAAGAAAGTATGGAGTGCACAATGACTTTTTCCGGTGTGCCTATAACACCATCCTTTGATTATTCAATATTATTGTTCAAACACTTTTCATCATGTCTTTTACGCTATAAACCTACCAATTCAAGATACCATATAATTTCTATGACCAAAGATACCCTAAGATCTTAGGCAAACAAACATGGATATGCCCCATGGGTTCCTTGGAAAATTGGGTTGTTAAATTGGGTAAATATGAGTAACTTCTAACCCGCCTAACCCAACTACCTGCACTTTTAGAATAAACTCTTTTGGATGTGCCAATTTGTCTAGTTTTTCCAGTATGGATTTATCTTGGATTTTATAAACCAATCAGATTTTTCAAAACATTAAAAATTTGATGTTGGCTGCAGGTTGACAAGAATGATCCTAATGCAACAAAAACATTGAGCAGAGTGGAAGCGGTACAGAAATTATGTAGAGACTCTGGAGCTCTGAGCAAAAGGTATGCATTTCATAGTTTCTAGAGTTTCTTCCTGAATATTGAACATTCATATTTACCGATTATCTGACAATTATCTATGGACCACACCAGAAAATCTTACATTGCCAACCACGAACAAAGCTACAGTTCAACTCTGGTAAGTTTCATCTTAGATTAAAAAAATTGACCCGAAAGCTAGAATCATTGTAGAATTTACATACTGATCAGTCTACATTCTGAATGCAGATTGTGGCGTTGTTTATTATATTGGCAATCATTTACGCTTATCTCTCTGCTAGCCCAAGAATCTAATGTAAGTTTCGTCGTGATGAACAATCGATAACTGGTCTCATGGTTGTAATTCTTTTGGAAAGCAAAACCACCTCCTCTCATCCCTTACTCCGATTTTCTTCTTGTTGTGCAGGTTTTGCATTTCCTGAATATTCTTCAACAAAAATGGCTGGTTACAAAAGTACATGCCTCATTGATTACATTAGTTTCTTATGCATGCAATAATGGAAGTGCCGCTGCTGCCGTTGTATATTCGATATACAGTTGCCCTGAAATATGCCGGAGCTTTCGACACCATTTAGCATAGGTACTGTTGCCAAACCTTTGGGAGTTCTTTGGAGGAGTTTAGAAGCTAAGACATCGTTCCACTTTGAAAAAGAAGAGAATACCTTTTTATATGGAAGTAATGTAGATTTATTATTAACTTGGGATGTTCCGGTCCAAATTTATCATTAAGTAAGTTTGCTTGGACTCTCGCTTTTAGCCGCGTTTTCAACCAAAAGTAATGTAGAATTTGATTCTTGTATACAATAATGGCAATGCTTATTTGGTATTCTATACCCAATGCTAAGACGCTTCATTTGTTTTGTCATCTGACAATTTGGCCTTATTTTTTTTCGGAATTAATCCATAATTATCTACTATTTTGGTGCTCTCACCTTCAATTATATAGAATTTCTAACAATTTAATGGTCAATGACATTAACTTCTAAACCCCAGCCTTAAGCACCCAACCCGTTATTGAACATTTCGTTTGGTAACACCAATTTTTATTTCGTTGGAGGAGGTTTGGAGTTCAAATTCTCGATGAATAAAACATTCATTTTTGGTGCAAATTGGAATCTTGACTGGCATTCTTACCGGAACACCGGGTATAATTTCTGCCGAGCCAGTTGCATGTTTCTCCCCAAACTTGTTTTCGTGGCCATGTCAATCATACCAGGTAGCTCAAGTGGAGATTTTTTTTACTAGAGTTTAGAACAATCTCATTTCTTTCAGTCCTTGATTGAACCAATCCCTATATATCATTTGATGGAGCGAGAGAAGCTTCAAACTCTCGATTTTCTATTTTATTTTTCTACACAAAAAATCTATTGAAGATATGGCCATAGTTTTGAGCTTCTAAATAGAGAAGAGCAAGTCAAGGAAGAACCACGATTACATATTGTCCCACATCGACAATCAGCAGCTAGAGACACCAGTTTATATATTATGTACAATCCCAACCGAGCGTCGAGCATTGTAACGCATGCTTGTAACCCGAGTGGGGACAAGTAAGGTGTTGGAACACTGCTTCGGTTTCAGCGTGTCGGGTCCGTGTTGCCTCTATTCTGGCTCGCCCATTCCAAGATGGGAGTTGGACTCTGTGGCCTGGGCGAAGGCTCACGCTGCACTGTTCCTAAAGCGGAGGGCACTGCGTAAGGCTGGCCTCACAGAGCAACGATCACCTCCCGCTCTCTTCGGTGGAAGGATAACGGGTCGGCGCTACTCTGATCCACCATGGCACTCTAGACCGTTTCATTGAACCATCATCTTTTTACTGGTGTATTTTTGTACCACTGTTTTTATAGAGTTTACGTCTCGGTGAATTAAGCTTGTAACTCCTTGATGCATATATTCTCTTGCCCAAGGGCCTGGGTCTAACGCACGAGCGTGCTCGACTGCTCGGCTTTCTTAGTAGGGAAAGTGCACGGACTGCTTGATAACTTCCCCCAAGGGATTCTTATTGACCCGCTGGCGTATAACATGATATTGGATGAGACCATCGTTGAATGGTCCGCCTATATAAGGAGGACGAGTAATTCTTAAACGGGGTCCGACGAATAAAGAGAAGAATTACACTCTATTGAGTTGAGTTATTCGTAACCTTATATTCTATTTTATTCCAGAGACTCAAGAGATGTATTCCAGTTTTGAGGGATGAACCATTTCTTATTATTTACAAGCCCTAGCTCATCAAGGGCCGACACTTTACTATTTTAATTTTGTTGACCTCCCCAGTTCTGAGCATTAACAATAATAAACACAGTTAAATTTCCAAACAAAAGCAAGTGCATATATGGTGACGAAAATTTTTATATAAAAACCCAGTAATTTTATCTCTAAAACGAACTTAACAATTTTGTCCATCAAAATTAGAATTTTGCCCTTTATTCAAACAAAGAAAAGAAAAAAAAAAAAACCAAAACCAAAACCCAGATAATAAAACAAGAGAAAATTAGAATTAGATAACTCATTTTAGACTTTTGTAGACTAAACGTTTATGCTTTTTGAGTTTTTTATTAAGCTTTTCAAACATTTGATTAAGATACTTATACTTGAACTACTTCAGATTAATTGAAATTAATTTACATTTAAATATCTGTTATATATTTTAAATAATTTCAACTATATTTAAGTCTAAAAAATTTAAAATTTTCAAATCTAAATGTACACCCATGTCAAATGGAAACGTACCAACATTAAATGAAAACGTACCAAACCCCGAATTAAAACGTACCCAATTATAAACTATATTAAAATGAATATTCATCTTTTTGGAATGTTTAAAAATATGTTTGATTCATACACAATGCTCTATATAGTCTTGTTTTTTGGTAGATAAGTATCTAGAACAACTTTTAGTTGATCGGAAATAAATCCTTATTATTATAGATAATGCTAAATAATAACGATAAATCATATAATTTTGAATTAACAAAAATGCAATTGTCGGTTGATTAATGACTCTTTCTATAAAGAAACAATTATTAATTAAAGTAATTCCTCATTATTAGGACAAAAAGTAATGAAACTTATGTTTTGAAAACAAACGTACCAAGTAACTAAATGTACCATTATAATCAAACGTACGATATAACCAAACGTATTTAACAACGAGTTTTGTTACGTTCTATTTAATTTATTAAAATAAATATTTTAATAAAAAAAAACCTTAAATCATCATAATAAGAGATGCATAAAAATAGGAGGAAAAAAGGGAATGCTAATGTGAATAGACTTCTAATTAAATAAAATTAAAGTACCAAAATTGTAGGGAAAATGTTTAATCAAATTTGCATAAGGAATAGATATTTAGTCTATGACATTTAAAAACGAGACATCTATATCAAAACGTCTCATAAAACAACCATCACCCTCCTCCAACTTCTCCTCTTTTCTCTTGAGATTAAAAAAAAAAGACAAAAAACCAAATATAACAACCCCACATCCCCGTTTTTGATTTCCGGCAAACCACCCACCACCAATGGTGGTTCCATGACGCTAGCGACCATCCCTCCTTGCTGAGAGGAAGTGCATTTGCTTGAGAAGAGGAATTAGGGTTTCCATGAGTTTTTCTCCTTCATATGTTGTGACGACGATACTAAGAAAACTTCTTGTCAATCCACAACTCAACAGCACCAATCACAGCAAGCAAAAGTGGCCAAATTACATTGAGAAACAGCACTGATCCAAATGAGAAGGCCACAAAGAACAGTTCCCATGCAACAAAATAACTCAAAGGAAACTACTCAAAAAATTCGAGTGCTGAGCCAGCTTCCGCCACAAAAACCATAAAATGTCAAACATTCAACTTGTTGCAAGAACCAAAATACTTGTGTTGGAGTTCAGCCAAGAGTCGACACTCATTTTTCTACTGAATCGAAAAACTTTATGCAAGAACAAAATACATGTGTTGGTATTCAGCTAATGATCATCTTGTTAAGGAACTCAGCTTTCTCAGGAAAGTACTCCATCAATTCATCCTTGGTCACCCAGACATAATCCTCGCACGTCCCAATGTTTAACTTGTTCGTTGCAATCACTTGAAACTTGTAAAATAATTGCTGAAAAAATCGGGGAAAATGAAGTTGTGATTAATATACAGATTGACAGGCAACACCAATATGCATTTCAACATTTATCGGCTGAAGCCATCCCATGTAAGAAGGTAAACATAATTTACAAAAACATACCTTAATATTCTCTGCTGTCTGTTCCATATGGCCCATGAGAGCATTTCCAACAAAGTATGTTGATGAGTTCATATTATACCATATATTGTACCCTAATCTTAGTATTAATTTATTGGTTATTTTGGTAGAATTTTGATACTTTGTTATATATTTTCAATGTAGGACATTCGATTTCCTCTGGAGCAAAAAGTATACAAACAGATGAATTTTGGAGTGATTCTAATTGGAGGATGTTCGTGAGTCTTTCAAGATGATTGTGTCAAAATTCCAGATTTCTGTACTAAGCCGTTTGACCATGGCGACGAAATTAAGGCTCAGCGCGCAGCTTTCCCGGATTGATGATTTTGGACGTTTTGAGTATTTTGGAGGTCAAGATGAGATATTTTGAGGAAGATTCCTTTTGAGGATTTGTAGGGGGCGTCCTCAGCTTTCAAAAGAGACTTTTTGGGGCCAAATTGGAGTTGATTTGGTCGGTCAAAAATGTGATTTTCTGAGAACTCCGAATTCTAGTTCAAATAGGAAACCTTTTATTTTCTGTTTTATCATTTAATTATGTTTCCTAGTTTTATTCTAAGACCTTTTCAAGGTAGGGTTTTATTTTCTAGTAGTATAAATAAGAATTTTTAGCCATTAGAATAAGTGGGGGGAACGTACGTGGAGAATTTAGCTAGGCTTTGACGCTTTGTATTTTGAAGGTGTTTTCTATCATTTTTCTATTTCAATAAATTCCTTTTGTTTTATGGTTGCTAGTAGCTAATTTTCGTTTGCTAGGGCGATGACTTGAGCCTTAGCATGAATATATAGTTTTTATTTAATTGTTTATGATATTATGCATGCATGCATGCTTTAAATTATTAATCACCGTGCTTTAAACCGTCTCTATATCTTAATACTTAGCTACCATTATGATGTTTAGATAAGTAATCGGATGCAATTCAGTTGGAATACCACCAGGGAATTGAGTATTGCTTCTTGTGCTTGATAGTTGTAATTTCACCTGGGATGAATACCACGTCTTAGGGGTTGCATGGTTTTTCAAAGGATTTTCACAAAGCGTAATGAGTCATGCATGTTTATATTTGATTTGAATACCATGGACGGATTGCATATTTGACATACGTTCTAGCTTGAATACCACGAGTAGAATATGCATTAGAAAAACCTAACCTTCAAAGTTGCATGTGTAATTCATAAGTAATTGATAAATCTACATAGGATTATTAAGGGGACGCAGAACACTAAGTTTTTACAATTTGGTTTTCAAAACTATTTCCTTTTGTTTTCTTTACTTTGTCAAGTTATTTATTTGTTTCAATTTAAAATTCGTTTTTAATATTCGAGGTCATAAAATCAACTTTTTCCAATCTTTGTTCTTAAATAATTAATTAAGATTTGGTATTTACATAAAATATTCATTCAATCCCTACAGAAACGACCTTGCTTGAGCTGTTTATACTACAACTGCCTTGTTCTCTTGCAAGTATTTTTAAGTGTTTTTATCCCTACTTTTGCAGGTGGTAAAAATACCCATCAAGAAATTAGCGCTGTTGCCGATGATTGTTTTAAATAATTTGTGTTTATCATATTCTTAATTGATTATTTGTGTATATAAATTTTAATTTTAATATTTTATTAA